TTGCTGATAAACTTATGTATTTAAAAAATTTAGAGACGGGGCCAGCAGTTGGTGTAATGGCTATGTCGCTGGACTCCCATGTAGTCAACCATGGGTCAAGTCCTGGACCCAGGGCTTAAACCCATGCTGGGCGCGTGTGCCGTGCCCAGAATCCCAAGAGGAGAATGGAGGAGAAGGGATCGCGGCGTGGCCATCCCCCATGGGGGGTGATTTCTCACTTTCTGTCTCTCTGTCTCTCTCTGTCTGTCTGGTGAGCATACGCACCCTGTAGCAAAAATCTCTCCAAAAAGAAAAAAAAGGACTTCTTCAGGAAAGTTCTGATCACCCATTGTCTATAGATTCTACAGAACTATGGTTCTATATGTGGCCAGAGAAAGTTTCTACTAGGATTGGGTTATTGGCATCTTCTCCCTTTCCCCCACAACTTCTAATCAGAAACACCAAGTTGTCAGAACAGAACTATTCACAGTGCTACAAAAAAGGCGAGCCCATAGCCCAGTGATTAAGGAAGTCAGATTCCACGCAGCTGACCATGGTTTAAATCCTGGCCCCAGGGGCTTCAAAAATACACCAGGTATGCGTGTGCGGGTGCCCACACAGAAACCTGACAGGATGGATGAAAAACGAAGAAGGGGTTGCAGTAGACCATGTCCCATTTGGGGTTGCCCTCTTCTTGTCTGTCTCTGGTGACTGCATATGCCCTCTTTTAATTAAAAAGGAAAAAAAAATGCTCCTGCTATTACTTCCTGTCCCTCTAATACATATGTGATCAACCTACATCGATCACTTCCTTTTTATTCTCTGATAATCTGATTTTCATGACATCCTCTACTGAATGCATTCTTCCAAGTAATCCCGAGAGAATGATTCTGAGAATGAACTCATATACTTCAAACAAACAAACAAAACCTCTGAAAATGACAAAGTACCATACAATTGTCACCAGCGACCCTCTTGTAATTCTTGTAGGAACAATAACAGAACACTAGTCTCACCATTACTGAGATCTCTACAGCGCTTGTTGAAATACTCTTCTATATATATATATACATGACATGTACCTATGTTATAAACCTCATGCTACTTTGTTATACTGAGTTCCTGCCTTGGTGTCATTTTCCTTGAGCCTAAAGGGCTTGTTTCAAAATTCCTAGTTGTATGGTGATAGACAGGGCAATTGGGTTGTAGAATGGCATACCGCAACTGAAAAAAAAAAAGACATTGCTATATTTATACACACACACACACACATGTATATATATCCATACACTCACACATATATATAAATGATGCAGGAAAAAGCTAGAAAATGGAAGCAGAAAAGTGGGTTAGAGTACCTTCCTCAAGTGGCTAGATAGAAAAACTTATCAGGGCAGAAATTCCTGCCTTAGTGGTTATCTTGTTTGACTCCCATATGGCCAACGCATGAGTGGATGCCCAGGCTCCCAGGAAGAGAATGGAAGAGAAGGGATTACTATGTGGCCATTTTCCTTGGGAGGTGATTTCTCACTTTCCCTCTCACTGTCTCTGTCTCTCTCTCTGGGGAGTGCATGTACCCTAATGCAGAGGCCTCTTTTAAAAAAAGAAAAGAAAAAAGAATGCAAAACATGCCAGATGTTTTGCCCCAAATTCTCTGTCTCTCTCTGGCATGCACATGAGATCTACAGGAAAAAATCTGGGAAAACAAAAATGTAAACAAAAACTTCACATTCAATTTTTAAAAATCAACCCCTTACTGGGGCCAGCAGATGGTGTCGTGATTTCATCACTGGACTGCCACATGACTGACTGTGGTTTGAGTCCCAGACCCAGTGGCCTGAAAATCATGCTGGGTGTGTGTGCATGCATGTCCAAGATCACAGGAGAATGGAAGAGGGGATTGTGGCAGGGCCAGCCCCCAGGGGTATAACTCCTAACTTCCCTTTTCACCATCTCTGTCTCTCCAGTGAATGCACGTGCCCTATGACAAAAACCTCTAAAAAACAAAAATCAACCTTATTCTGTTAATCAGAGACATCTAAAAACAATACCAGAAGAAGGTTAAAAGTGAAGAGATAGGAATATATGCCAGGAGACTTAATTTAGCAAAGATAATTTTAGACAGATTAAAGTTTAATGAGGAATTATTAAGAACAACAAGAGAGACAGTATCCTAAATGGTAAAAGTAATAGCTCAGGGCCAGCAGGTGGCCTAGTGATTAAGGTGCTGGACTCCCACGTGGCTGACTGTGGTTTGATTCCCAGACCTGGCAGTTTGAAACTCATTCCGATGTGTGTGCATTTGTGCCAAGATCCCAGGAGAATGGAGAAGGGATTGTAGTATGGCCATCCCTCCTGGAGGGTGATTTCTCGTTTTCTGCCTCTCTGTCTCTCTAGCTAGTGCATGCACTCTATAGCAAAAATCTATCTCTCCGAAAAAAAAAAAAAAGTACTAACTCATCATCGGAATCATGAAGTTCAATGGCCCAGCCAAGATGGTGGACAAGTAGCGCCACTGCTTAAAAAAAAAAGAATTGAGAAAACAGTTTGGGTCCCAAGCCAGCCTGTACATGCCAGGCATAGCGGCAGGTTCCTGAACTCCTCCCTGACTGGGCCACCAGGCCAGGAGGAGACTAAAACACAGCCAGACTCTGAGAGAAATGCCCATCTTTGCTTCTCCTTCCTTCCTCCCCTAATCATAAAGGAAAACACAAATGATGATCTTTGCAGTTATAACTGCATTGACTCAACATGCATGTAAAAAACTGATAAAATTACTGGGAGAAAAAGGCAATTTCAGAACACAAATAAAAATGTAACATACTCTGCTTTAGAAACTGATTGCTCAATCGGGATAGGGAGGAAAGTTATAAACAGATGTATAAAGGAGAATGGAGGAGAAATTGTGGCGTGGCTATGCTCTCTGGAGAGCGATTTCTCACTTTCCTTCTCTCTTTCTCTTTCTGTCTCTCTCCAGCAAGTGCACACCCCCCATAGCAAACAAAACAAGACAAAACAAGAAACCAAACGCTATCGAAATTTAAATGACATACATAATACCTTGTAGTGAATGTAGAAAATATATTCTTTTCAAGCATACACAACATATTTACAAGAATGTTCCCAACACAAGGAAATGGTAGAGGTTTAAGGTGATAGATGTGCTAAATACTCTGAATTTATAGTTGTATGTTGTATACATGTATCAGAACATTGCACTGCACCCTATAAATATGCATAATCATTGTGTGTCAATTAAAAGAAAATAAACTTTAGAAAGGTAATTTGAGTTCCATCATTTTTATTTTGACTTTTTATTTGACATTTTGAACATTTCTTTCAAAGACAGAAAAGAAGAAAGAAATCACTCCATTTAAACATCTTGTAATATGCAGCAAATGTGGGACTTATCAGGAAATGTATAGCATTTACATATTAGAACATAAGACATATAAGCAATAAATAAATGGAGTACTTAACTCATGAAGATAAAAATAAAATTAAATAAACCCAGGAAGTATAGAAGAAAACAAAAAACATGAAAGTGGAATTTAAATATTTAGCAAGCAAAATAACAGCAAAGAGAATCAACACCACCAAAAAATGTTTATTTGTACCTTTTAGAAGAATAATAAATAGATAAAAATATAGACGGTGAGAAGACAACTTAAAGGATCAAAATAGAAAACACTGCCACACTAGAAAAGTCCTAGGAGAATAATTTGAATTGCTACATTCGATATTTGTAAGACCTGGATGAAATAGAGCACAGTATTTTTCTTGGAAAATATAAATAATAATGCTTACAAAACTTGAGCAAACAAATGATTATTCAAAAACTATAGACAATATTAAAATTTCTATCCTGTACAATAAATATGCCACTGGTAAACAGGTTTGTAGATAGTTTTGACAAATGTTCCAGTAACAAGTAACCTCTATCTTATGCAAACTGCTGAAAGCTATTTATAAAAAAAGAGAAACGGGGGAACCAGCAGTTAGCGTAATGGCCATGTCGCTGGACTCCCACGTAGTTGACCGCGGTTCATGTCCTGGACCCGGTGGCTTAAAACTCATGCCGGGCGTGTGTGCATGCGTGCCCAAGATCCCGAGAGGAGAATGGAGGAGAAGGGATTGCAGCATAACCATCCCCCCTGGGGGGTGATTTCTCGCTTTCTGTCTCTATGTCTCTCTCTGTCTGTCTGGCAAGCGCACACGCCCTATAGTGAAAATCCCCCCCCCCAAAAAAAAGAAAGAGCTTTCTTAACACCATAATTGGTATCCATGCAAATCCATAAAAACATATTAATGGTTAAGTCTTGAATCGTGTCCATCAGTAAGGACAAAATAGAGATGTGTGGATATTTTATATCACTATGACTGACCAAGATTGTACTGGAGACCTTAGCCATGATCAGACTGGCTTCTTTCATCAAGCAGTATTCATTTAAGATTCTCCCATGTCTTTGAGGCTTGATAGCTCATGTCTTTTTATTGTCAAATAATATTCCATTACAGGACTATGTAATAGGGTGTCTATGCATTCATCTTTTTTTAAAAAATTAATTTATTATTTTTTTGTTTTAAATAATGTTTTAATCATTTATTTATTTATTTATTTAAATTTGACCAGAGAAGGACAGAGTAAGAGAGAGAAAAAGTGAGAAAGCAAGCCACCAGGTTCCAAACTTGAACTGTGGTCAGCCATTTGGGAGTGTGGAGGGCATTGCATATGGAAGTCATCTTGGGGGCTTCTTGAGAGCTGTCCACCATCTTAGAAACCATTAGGTTTCACTTCCTCATTGAGCAAACCATTTCTCAGAAATCTCGTGACCAACTGTTCTTCCTGGGGATGGTTGGGATCCACCCACCTCAATGATTGGCTCATACTGTTTTATCTCATTTGCATTTCAGGCAACCAATCGGTGCCCACCAGCCTGTATATAAGCTTGCGACTCACCTTGTCTCCTCACTGTGTGTGTGTGTGTGTGTGTGTGTGTGTGTGTGTGTGTGTGTGTGTGTGTGTGTGTGTGTGTGTGTGTGTGTGAAAGTTTTGTGTGTGTCCCCTTTTTCACCGACCTCACCCAGGTACCCGTTCGACTGTCCTGCGGGTTGGGGCAAGTGGTGCCCGGATGTGGGGCCCTGGAGTAGAGGATCAGGGTGAAGTGCACTGTGAAGAAATCCTGGCCAGGTAGAAGTGGAAGGGTAAGTAGTAATACAGAGATTACTTAAAGTAATACAGAGAGTACTGACTAACTTCCTAGTGTGCAGTTATGGGACAGCAAATGAGTAAACATGAATTATTTGTTCAGGGGCTTAATGATACCCTTAAGACACATGGAGTTAAAATTAGAATCAAACAATTACTTTCCTTTTTGATTTTCTAAAAGAGGTGCATCCTTGGTTCCCTCAAGAAGGCACTATTGATGAAGCAAGGTCGAAGAGGGTAAGTGATGCTCTGAAAGACTACTATGTCGCATTTGGCCTGGAAAAAGTCCCAGTAATAGCCTTTTCTTATTGGAGTTTAATAAATGAAATTGGGTTCCGGCCAACAGACCCCAGAATTGCAGCAGTAGTTGAGGAGGGGGAACAAATTATGCAAAAAGAAAAATTTGGGGAATTAATTAGTGACAATGTCATGGAGACTACAAAGGACCCAGAAACAAAAAAGATCTAATTTCTTTAGATAATGAGGAAGAAACAACAAATTCTAATAAACAACCAGATGTTAAGCCAAAACAATTTTAAAAATCAAGGGTAAATGAGGAGGTTATAAATCCTACAAAGCCTCAGAAAAAATTATATCCATCCCTTACAAACCTTAAAGCTTATTCGGATGGTCAATTGGCTGATTCTGAGGAAGAAATTTTAGAAACAAAGGCAAAATGGTCGCCTAAGAAAGAAATTTTAGAAACAAAGGCAAAATGGCCACCTGAGAAAGAAACTTCAGGAATGGAGGCTGTTGAGTACAACAATTCAAAATGGTCACCTTTCAAAAAACAACCACCTTCTTATGACTTGGTTGCATCTGCATCATCTTAGATATGTAATCATTCTTGCCATGAAAAGACTACTCCACCATCTTTGGCAATGCCTGTTATTGATCCTAGGGCAGAGGTTAGGGCTAAGACTGAACAACTTAAAGAACATATTCAGTTAGAAGAAGAACATCAAGAATTGATATCACAATTAGAAAAGCTGAAAGTGGGTAAATCTAAAGGTACAACTTTCTTATCTTCACAAAATCGCTGTCGGTCTACCTTTACTCCTAGTGCAAAACTTAAACCAGCTCAGAAATTACAACCACTGATAGACCTTGATGAACAGGAAGCCTTTCCAGTAACAGAAGACACAGATACACAAGGACAAGCATGGCGCCATGTATGTGGCTTTGATTTTTTTTTTTTTGAGAGGTTTTCACTGTAGGGCGCGTGCGCTCACCAGACAGACAGACAGAGAGAGACAGAGAGTTAGAAAGTGAGAAATCACCCCCCAGGGGAGATGGTCACACAGCAATCCCTTCTCCTCCATTCTCTTCTTGGGATCTTGGGCACGCACGCACACGCGCCCGGCGTGAGTTTTAAGCCACTGGGTCCGGGACATGAACTGCGGTCGACTACATGGGAGTCCAGCGACATAGCCATTATGCTAACTGCTGGTTCCCGTGGCTTTGATTTTAACATTATAAAAGAAATTAAAACAGCAGTTGCTCAATATGGAGCTACAGCTCCATATACATTAGCCATAGTTGATTCAGTGGCAGAAAATTGGCTTACACCAATAGATTGGCACACATTGGCCCGTGCTGCACTCTCTGGAGGAGATTACTTGCTTTGGAAATCAGAGTATGTAGAACAGTGCAAGGATACTGCACGTCGTAATGCCCAGGCCAATAATGGCTGGACGGTAGATATGTTGTTGGGAGAAGGTAATTTTGCAACTACTGACACTCAGATGCAATATGATCCAGGACTCTTTAGTCAAATTAATATGGCAGCCATGAGAGCTTGGAGAAAACTTCCTACTAAAGGAGATTTAAGTACCTCCCTTACAATAAAACAAGGGCCTGATGAACCTTTCTCTGAGTTTGTTCATCGACTGATTACAATAGCAGGCAGAATATTTGGCAGTGTTGACGCAGGTACAGAATTTGTTAAACTCCTGGCATATGAAAATGCTAATGCTGCCTGTCAAGCAGCAATTAGACCATATAGAAAGAAGACAGACTTATCAGAATATATTCCCCTCCGTTCTGATATCGGGTCAGCATATCAACAAGGAATGGCTATAGCTGCTGCTCTTCAAGGTTATAACACTGTCCGCCAATTCCTTACTCGTAACAACAATGCCAACAAAACAAATAATAAAATTACTTGCTTTAATTGTGGTCAGCTTGGGCATACAGCAAAAAATTGTAAAGTGAGAAATAATGGTCATCAACGACAACTAAACCAATTTCCTGACATGTAATAAATGTATGAAGGGACGTCACCCTCCTAATGAATGTAGATCCAGATTTGATGTCAATGGCAGACCAATTAATCAGGATCAGGGAAATGGGAACAGGGGGCCGCCCCAAGCCCCCAAACTCAAACAAGCTTTTGGGGCACTGCTGGGAGCCGTGCCCCAGCCGGGGTGGGTGCACAGGAAGGCGACGCGGGTGAACAGGAATCAGACTGAGACCTCATGCCCTTAGCATGTTCTCAGCCGGCTACAGCCAGAGTAAACTCAGGACTGCAGCCCTGATGGCCAGGAGTCATGCGTATTTATTATAGAAGGAGTTTTACAGCAGTGGGATGGGTGAGGGGAAGGAAATAAGTGAAGGATTTTACTCTAAAAGGTAAGGCATTCAAGGTATAGGAACAATAATCATAAAACATGACGTCTGTTTTGTTTAGGTATAAACAGTCATAATTTTTAGAACGAGGAAGTCCATTTTTTGGGTGTATCTTCTTTTTTGATTTTGATTACCAGGGAGGGTCTTTGGATGAGAGGGTTTCCAGGAATTTTCAGTCCAAGACTGGCTTGATCACTTTAGTCCCAGATTGGCTTGAGAACTTGAGCCCCAGGTTAGCTTTTGAGAACTTCAGCTTCAGGCTAGGGTGGCAGCAATTACAAGAGCCTAGAAATAAATCCTGTCTGGTTTAGTAAAGACAAGGTTAGTATATACTAACGTGAAATACCTATGTTATCTCTGGGGTAGTCCACAGCTAAGAGGGTGAGTCTACATAGGAAAGGAATGTGTCTACATAGGAAAGGAATGTGGTCTTGTGAGCAGCTTAATGACTGATCTAAAGGTTACTGTGTACTTGGGACCCTCTACATGCTGCTCTATACAATGGCTGTGGCTTGGGGAATGGCAATCTTCCCTTGTCCTGAGAGTAAGGGTGGCTTATGGTCTTTGGGGTAACAGCACCTTGTGGATGAGTCCCTGAGCTCCTCTTGGCTACTAAAATCGTTCACCCATTAGTAGCTTTAACCTAAACCTTTTTAATGCTTATTTATGTAATCCCCAGTAGGAAAAGTGAATGTAGCATTCTTTATTAATATTTTCCAGGAGGGCGGGGTGAGTCTAATGGGAGTTACTCCTGTTCGCAGCCACTGCCCTATGCAGCTGCTGCCTTAGCAGATTCGCATTTTTTCAAGATTATTGTAAAAGTTATAGTAAGGCTGGGGGTGCCTTTATGGGGTACTGGGATATGGCAATAAGGCCCATGGCAGAAAAACTGAGTGCAGGCCAGTACAGTAACACAATGAAGGTGAGGTCCAGAACTCGTAAAACTGTTGACCTTGCAAACAGTTCTCCTCAGCCAAGTCCTTGCTCTAGGCACGAGGGGCAGTTCTTTTATACTCAGCTTGTGTTAACTGCATGGTCCCAGCAGGGCACTAGAGTTTGTTCCAGCAGCCAACACCAATCCATTTTGGACCTCTCCAGAGCAACCCCAGAAAGCGCAGGACTGGACTTCTGCTCCACCACCTACACAGTATTAACTCCGGAAATGGGGGTTCAGGCTTTACCTACTGGAATCTTTGGTCCTCTGCCACCAAAAACCTTTGCAATACTCTTGGGACG